CGACTTCATTGTCTGCCTTCGAGGCCGGTGCACTTTCGTGCATCTGGTGGGGGGATCGGTGAGCTCTGGTCAAGGCAACTCGATCACCGAGGAGGAACTCCAGGCCCACGCAGAAAGCGCGCGCAGGGTCGGCTTCCGTTGTGTCTGCTTACGGCATCTGGAGCCCAGGGCATCTTGCAGGAAGTTCCCATGGATAGCAGGACACTCGGTGAGCTCACGATGTGTCAGGAGGCTTCAATGACCCCTCGATAGTCTCTCTTGCAGGCACGGAGGAGAGACAGACTCCAGGCTGATGATTCCGAACATCGCCAAAACCAGAGCCGAGGCGAGGGCCTGCTGAGCTGCCGGAAGCTCCTCCGGTGCCTTCAGCGGGCAAGCGATCGCGGGAAGCCCCGCGGGGGCCTGCTGGGCCGGGCCTTGGCACGCTGCTGCCCGGGTCGCCCCAGCGAGCCTCAAGAGGCCACGGCTACCCATACTGAGCTGCTGTGGTTGAGGTCATGCCCACAACGAATTTCCATGGTTCCAATGTTCCAAAGCTTGCCTTCTCGATGCCAAAGCACAACCTGTAGGAAGTGTATCGTTTCGTCACAGGTGCGAGGATGTGGTTGGGTTCCATGGAGTGCAGACGGTGCAGAGGGGTTCAGGTATAATCCTTTGCACATGTAAACGTGGGGCGATGGTTGGCATCGGTGGGCAGCGAACGCTCGCCAAGGCGTCTGCAGGTTTCCAGATCATGAACCGAGACATATCGAATTGGACATTCTCGGATACCTCGGAGGTAGCGCAGAAGATATCCCAGACGAGCTAGGTAGATACGACAGGTGCTGGGTTGAAGGTGGGATCTAGGTACTGTTGCCAATTGTACCGGACTTGAGTGCTGTAGGGCTACGTGTTTGGATTGCGGTGTTTCGAAGTCATTCGAGCTTTGGAGCTTTGAGGCGAGGATTTGTGAGGGACAGACTTACTGCAAATAATGGCACTATGTGTCAAGGTATACTATGGTATATTCAATATATAGTGCTGTATTCAATTATATTATAGTATATTCCGGTATACGTCGAGATGGTAGCTTACCTTTGCTTCAAGCATAGCTAGGGGCCCGGGGTTAAGATTCCCTTTCCGACCAAGACGACGTTCGTCTCTGCAGCATTCTGCAGCTTTGCCAGTGGTCTTCTGGTATACGAGCCACATTCCCTCAGTGGGCACGGTAGTCGAACATCGAAGCTGCAGGTTCAGATGGAGGAGACAGCGGCGAAGACCAGCAAGCTTCGGCTGGACGCTCCTAAACGGCCAATGAGGCGAGGATTGCCTTTCGGCATGTTGGATAACTTTGCTCCGTGCATGCAACTCGCAGTCCGCTGAGGAGAGGTTCAGGCGACCACTCGGATCCAGGCACCTCCAAAGCAGCGCAGGCGCTCTGCATCCCCTCACATTGATGCGATCTCTTGCAAAAGAGGGCGTTCGGCGTTCGGCAGGAGAAGGAGTACGACCTGGCTGACAAGAACCAGCTGGCGGCCTTCCTCGAAGATGCGGACATCCAGCTGGTGCCGCGGGCTGGAGGGGGCTGGGAGCTGCAGTTCTAAGCGCGGGGCAGTGCGGGGATAGGCTGGTGTCGTATGTCAGTATTTCGACAAGTTGGGCTTGATTCGGAATCATACTGCCCTGTCCTGTGGCCTCGAATCGTCTGGCTGATCTTGCTCTTGCTTCATCACGCTGACCCATCCGAGTTTTCGTTTCTCTCAATGGGCTTGTTGCCGATCTGAAGCCTCCGGGTCGATTGCTGTAGCTTCCACTGTTCTTGCCCGCTTCTCCTCTGCCAGGGTGGCCCGGGCACGCGGAGGATCTCCAAGGACGCTCTCCGCGTCATCGTCAGGAACCTCAAAGGCCAGAACCCGGCTCAGGTGAGTCCAGTGAGTCCCCTCAGTTGCCCCCCTTTACGTAGAATCCCGCCATGATTTGTCACAGATCCGGCAAGTTCATCAGTCTGCAAACAAGTTCGGAGTCAATTATATGCTTGATTATGATCCGGGCCAAATTTCGTTAGCATATGGAAAGAAGTTCAATTTACATGTCTCGAATTTAAAGTGCGAAGCGTGGATTCTCCAACTGTTGCATGGCTGGTGCAGTACAGCGAAGCAGCATCTCAATACATCCTTATCGAACCTTTGTAGCCACCGAGATCCAACAACCAAGTTCTCAGGATCCGGAATCAGGATGTCGTGCATGGATTCTTCCCGGCACGTGGCAGGCGACCGTTTCACTGTGGAGATGCTCCAGGCGAATACTGCGTGCCCAGCTTGTTGCAACATTGTGTCTGAGCAGATGGGCCAGGACATCTTGCACGAGCTTGTCCCCGATCGCCGGAAGCTCAGCATTGGACATGGACAGAGCCCAGTGCGATTTCGGAAAGCTATATATAGTTTGTGGTGCACACTTCTGTCCGGAGGCGAGGGCCTACTGAACTGCCAAGACGTGGCGTGGCACGCTGCCTCCGCCGACTGGATCCAGCTTCGGAGCCCCAAGAGGCCGGGGCGCGCGGGGTGAGCGAGCGTTTCCCTGCCTGGTCCGCGACAGCGTCGCACAACGCCTGCGCCTGTGCCAGCCCAAGCGCTACGACCTGGCTCAGAAGCAGGGGCTGGCGGACTTCCTGAAAGATGCGGACATCCGCTTGGTGCACACCCCGGGCTGCAGTGTTGAATCTGCAAAGGCCTGCAGCCATCCGATCTTGCGTGTTGTGCGTGAAAATCAACATGTGACGGATCATACCTCTGACAGTTTTGCTGTGTGAAGCAATGAAGCGTCCTGCCCAGGTGCGAGCCGACTTCCTTCTGAAGCTGCACCGGGAAGGACAGCGTCTCCCGCGGCGCCAG